TCATTAGTCTGAAGTAACAATAACCAGACAATCTTCAAAGCTGAATACAGGACTACTCGGAAAATAGATATTCAATATTAAACGTGAAGAAATACCTAACGATGGAAAAGGCGGGAACAGTTGATTAGATGAATTGGAGTTGATCGGATGGCATAACTCGACCATGCAGGCGTGGTCCCTATTGAATGTTACCTTATATCTTCTATTCATATTAAATGTATTGTTCCTTCTCTAGCCTAACCTTGTTCTACATCATGTATTGGTAATTGATACGATACAGTGAATTGGTGTAGTCGATGGTGTGACTTCCACATAAGATCTTTTAGATTAGGCAGTTATATCATGACAAATCTACAATTTTAGGATTAGGTCTATTATTAGAGCAGTACTAATATTATAGTAGACCATAATTATACAAGTCAACGGACCTTTGGCAAGAGCCTGTTTACAGAGGTCTTCTTGATTAGGCTTCCCCAACAGGTGGAGGTATTGTTTGTCTCGTTTCAAAATAGCTCCGTAGACGGACTGACTACATCTGACGACCGAATTCTGTAGACCTTCAGAACCCCAACGCCCAGATTTGGCCTACCAAAAAGACGTCGCAGATCTCTGTAGTTTCCTCACTTGTATTCTTATATTCTTCATAATCGAAGACGCTCCTAAACTCCTTGAAGAAGCTCGGTACAAAAATTCTCTCTATACTATCAGATGCAGCAACAGTAGTCAGCGGACATAACCGTCTGTTAAACATCACTGATGTGATGACGGAAGTTCCTTACTGCGTCGATGGTGGTGCAAAAGTTAGAGTTTACCTGAAACTCCTAACTGCATGAATCAGTTTTCGACACACAGGCGGTAAGCGATACGTGTACCCTAATGTGAGTTTACAAGAACGCATGCGCTGGCTGTGTTCCCAAACTTGACGTATAGTAAATATGTGGTCGATGCAGCCACGACCATGTCTGAAGCCAACCTGATTTTCTCGTGTTTGCAGTGTACTGAACGATATCTTCAGTTAACTAGGTGTTCGTAAAACGATAAATGTGAGTGCAAACCATGAGAGTTCTAACCCATGAAAGTATAATTCCCAACCCATTTGTGTAAATAGTTATTAACAAGGTTACTGACTACTTTATTGTTTAGTTTCATCGCTTAAATCGACCATATTACGTGATTGTCAAATCATAACAAAGCATTACGGAGATGTCAAGAAACCAATTATGAATAGCTACTTTTAGTTTTGATTGAGGGATTAGCTACGGAAAATAAGATAAGTAGTGCTTTTTCATATATCCAAAGGTTTTGATGGTTCAGAATGCGTTCACAGTTGTCTATTCGGAAATGTCAGAAATATAAAACAACAAAAAATTGAGTGATGTCAATGAAACTGAGTTACATGATTATATTACAAATCAAGTTGTGGCAATACTCGTTAATTTGGTGCATAACTATTAGATCTTATAAGTTATAATGAGGAAGATACTTAAAATCATTAACACATTGCAGCCTCTGGTGAGCATGACCATGCGATATTAGTTTTCCGTTTAGATATTGCTGTAAACAACGAACTAACCCCAATCATAATAAAAAATAAAACAAAAAAAAGAAACTAAACACTTAACAATCGAAGTACACTAATAAATCAAACTGCAATATTCCGAACAGGTTGCTTTGAAGATCAAAGGAAGTTGTACTTTTAAGACCCATCACAGTATACATGACAAATGATACCACGCAAAATAAAAAAGCTGAACGCCATAGTTCAACAAAGCGGCTTCTACTCGTTTCCACTAGATAGAAGAAGCAAGAAACGGTTTATAAGGAGCTTATGGAAACAAGTCTCAATAACGAAAAGCCAGAAGTACTTTTGTCTTAGCATAAAGAAAACCTACAAGTCAGTATAACAAAAAGTTCATTATGGAGTCCTACAAAGTGCCACACAATATGAGTAAAGAAAAATAGAAAGCATACCACAATAGTAAGGAGGTGAGACAACAATGTTACAAACAGGAGAAAATTAGTATAAACATCGACGTACTATCAAAGCTTTTCGAGAATTTATAAATCGTGTAGGTTCCGTTCTTACTATAAAGAACATTATTTTCCATAACGCATAAATGGATATTATCGGATTAAGGAAGTCGACGTACAGAATTTGAGAACAAGATAAAAAGAAAATTAAAATCCAAGATGGATTGTGAAACATTATCCCCAAATCTATAGGCATAAGAGTAAGACTATCCATAACAACGCTGATTACCGAGAGACCGGAAAACTCACATTGAGAATTCAGTCCGAATAAAAAAGTACTGAAAATAAACCTACAAACTGTCACCTAGCAAGTACAAACATAGATAAGAAAATTTAAACAACGGGATTCGTAACCAGTAGTTTAATTATTCAGATGAAAATATGATTATCTCGAAAAACTAAAAGCACAATAAATTTGGTATGTTCTCAAAAATCAAAAGCAACAAAGGGTATCGGTTGACCGCAAGTTGTCTGGATGAAAAGTTCCTAGTGGGATCTCCCATGGTAGTTTGGGGACCAGCGTTATTGTCTCTATATGCAAATGACCTTCTCAGCCTTCTATTATTATCGATCTTGTTACATACAGAGAATATCAAAATACGGGGAGCGATATAACACTAAGAGGACAGTTCATAGCCACAGAAAATCGTATGGAAACGATTTGAATGATTTAGAATTCGGTACTTGCAGCTAAACGTTTCCAAATGTATTGTGATGTATATTGGTCACCAGGGTACAAATACATACACAGCGAACAACGTCGAGCTACCCGTTGTTCAGACAATAAATGATGCAGGAGTCAATATCACCCAATATTTGAAGACTACTGAGCACTGCCATGCAATATATGGTAAATGTCTTGGAAACTTATAGCCGTTACGCAGAGCTTCCATTCCTGACTTTGTGGTGTTCATTTGATAAAAACTGAAGTATTGCATACAAGCATTTAGCCCTTACCTAAACACACAGAGAGCTATCGTAAAATGCTTAAAGAAATATATATATAAGCTAATACCTGGAACCCGACCAACAATGGAAGAAACCATCAAATTCATTACACAAATCAGGAACTGCAGAGCACCAGACAATTACTAGCTAAAGCACTGAAGTTAGAAACATAAGCAACTGTAATTTCAACGTTTTATCCGGTAATGTGGGTTTGAACGTCTTCAAGGTCATAGTAAAAGGTAAATACGACCAAAAAGAATTTCGCACAGAACTCCTATTCAGCCATGTTGAAATGTTGATTTTGGATTTAATGAGAATTTAAATCACTACATCAAATGTGTACAGTATGCTTCAAGTGAAGGTTTATGTACGTTATTAAAATTCAGTGATCAAAAGAAGTATTAAGTTACAACTAGGGCTATATTGATCATTCCGTTTAATATTTGAGTAAGGTGGGTCCAACCTTAGTGTATGTAAATCGAATGAATTAGATTTTATGTTGCACAGTTAAATAAAAGCAACTGGAGATAAATTCAAACAATAGTCAATTAAAGTTACACTTATACCACTGATAATTATCATGTTACTAGTGGGAGCGGAATTTGAAGGCGACAATATTTTTGTCCAATAATCAACAACTTCCTGTCTACAGGATATCGAAAGCCAATTTCAAAGCTTATAAGCCACATGGTTCAGTACTGGGTCGTCCCAAACATTTAAAAAGTCATAGGTAAAGCCTATTTGCTTGTGGATATTCATCAACTAAATATACCTGGGAGTATGTGGTGCGCTTGGGATTAAAAGCTTTATGGGTCATGGATCCGATAAAAGCCTTTACTATGGTCTCTAGTTAGTATCACTTCCCATTAACTGACTAATAAATAGTATGGTGATAGTAATTGTAACAATTGCACCGTCGCGAACTGCACTTGATTTAGCGATATCGGAATAACTCAACAAGAATTATTTGGATCAAGGACAATAAAGGATTAGTACGCTGTTAATATGTAACTGAACTCATTTTTCCCCAGACAATAACGAGTTTTTGATTGTTTTGGAAAACTAAAGTCAATCTAAGTATAACTAATGGTCTATGGCACCAATGCCAGCAGCAGCACAAAAATTTGGCATAAACAGTAAATCGAAGAAATCAAAAAACGACCCAACCTTAAAACTCAAGATTTAAGAGAAGTGAAACAGTTGATGCATCTATGTCATTGAGATCAATTCTGATACATATCATCCAAATTCTCTATGTATTTATGATACCATTATTACGGAACAATCACTGCGAAAGTATGCCAGTGAAGAAATATAATGTTGGTTGGAGGATCAGGACTGGATAACAGAGCATCTTGATTTTTTTTGCATACAATAATCTGTGATTTTCACAATGGTATGAAAGCGCGACTCATAAACTAGGTAAGAGTGACTAGTGTCAGTGTGCTGTAATCATAGGACGGATTTGTCAACACGTTGTTCGAAAGCCAGATAAAAACGAGCTCGGAAATAAAATACAGTAAACTATCCGGTTAGGGAAGGATCAACATCTAGAAACCAATCATAAATTAGAACTGCTTGAGCACAAACAGTTAATAAACGTTCTTTATGGAGAAAAGGAATAATCATCTTTTGGCCCTAAGACACATCTCCAATGGACATAACCTACGTGATATTACGATAAATTCATATTACATCGGACGTCAAATAGCGTTGATATAAGAATAAAAATAAACAAATAAGTCATACTGAAACATATTCCACACAAAATTTCAGTACCAGAAAAACATGGATCTCATTCAAACAAAAATACATGGGTGCATGATATTCACCGTATCCATTACAGGATTAAGGAACAAAAGACATGGGAAAACTTGAAGTAGTTAATTCATAATGATTTGTATAGAAGTGAATATAAAGTGCTAGTGCGAAGGATGTGAATTTTCTAAAGAAATATTTATTTATCTATAAATCTCACTAAATATTTCAAATTTCAGTAGAAATAAAGGCGTAATATTATATTATGAGCACGCTTCTTCGTACAATAAATGTAATTTATCTGAAAATGTTTCCCGTAGTCGAGATCTCACTAATTTCAAATTGGAGGTGAGCAAACCATTTTCCACAGTGAATGGAAACGAAGAAAGGTGAACACGTTTAATCTGAAAAGAATCAATATCAAGCATTTCATTTATTTATATAAGTAAAGACGAACATTGAATGACTGTATGTGTAATATAAACAGGAAATTATTTCGCACACACCATGCAGCATTTTATTTCCCAAGTTAATCATATCACATATTGACTTAAAACATGTGAATGGATAATGATTCGGTAAAATCTCTACAAACACATGAGAAGAGCAGAAACACCGTTGAATCAATCAATCTAAATAGACTGCATGTAACATACTACAGCATGTTACCCCTCATGGAGTAGCACAAGCCGCCCACCAGCACTCTCCATCCAACCTTGTCCTGGGCAATCCTTTCCGATTTCTATTTATCCTTTTCATATCTGCTTCCAGTTCTCGGGTCAGTGTCTTCTTTGGCCATCCTCTTTTCCGTTTCCTTTGAAGATTACAAGTTAATGCTTGTTTAATGATGCAGTTTGGTGATTTCCTCAGTGGGTGTCCTATCAACCACCGACGTCTTTTCCTGATTTCCTCCTCAGTTGGAAGTTGGTTTGTTCTCTCCCACAGTAGACTGTTGCTGATGGTATCCTGCCAACAGGCATTCAGTATCTTACGTAGATAGTTGTTTATAAATACTTGTACATTTTGATGATGGTTGTGGTAGTTCTCCAAGTTTCAGCCCATACAGTAGAGCTGTTTTGACGTCCGGATTGAAGATTCTGACTTTGGTGTTGGCTCACTGTTATTTTGAGTTCCATATGTTCTTCAGTTGTGGGAATCCTTCCCATGTTTTGCCAATCTTTATCTTTACGTCAGTGATTGGTTTGCCTTCTTTGTCGTTGACCGGTCTCTCTGGTTTACAATATCTCCCTGCTAGTTTCTTCGTTGTGTCATATGGTTGTTTCATATTACCTTCTCTTGCAACTTTTTACACTTTCGTTGCTAGTTCTTCCGCGTATTTCTGCTTGTCGACTCTAATGATCTTCTTCACTTGCTTGTCTACTTCTATGTATTCAGCTTGTGCCTTAACTTTCTCTGTTTCTTGTTCGGCTGCTCTTAATTGCTGTCTTCTTGAATCTTGTGTGGGGTTTCGATAGTGATTCGTTCTTTATGATGTTTCTTGCGAACGAGCGCCTCCTGACATGTTGAAGTTAGTGCTTCTTTGATCCCTTTCTAATCGTCCTCCATAGTAGCTTGTTTTTTTTTCAGTAGATCCTGTAAGGCTTGGGACCTGTTGTTGAGAGTTATCTTAAATTCATTGAGTTTATCAGTATGTCGAAGGAAGGCTGTATTGAACTTTTGTAATGCTGTTCCCTCAGCTGTCCAATGCTTCCTTAACTTCAGTTTCATCTTGGCCACAACCAGGTGGTGATAAAAAGCTATGTCAGCTCCTCTCCTGGTTCTCACATCTTCCATTGACCTTGCGAATTTTTTATTGATACAAATATGATCTGTCTGATTCTCTGTGGTGTGGTCCGGTGAGACCCAAGTAGCTTTGTGTATGCGTTTGTGTGGGAATATTGTGCCACCTATAATTAATTTGTTGAATGCACATAGATTTGCAAATCCCTTGCCATTCTCGTTCCTTTCTCATAGTCCGTGTCGTCCCATGATATCTTCATAATCGTTGGTGTTTATCCCGACTTTGGCGTTTAGATCTGCCATCAGGATGGTCAGGTCTTCTCCTGGGCACTTCGCTATGATCCATTGAAGCCTCTCGTAGAACTGATCTTTATCGTCGTCATTGCTATCATTAGTGTGTGCATCACATTGAATAACATTCATTGTAATTCCCGCCTTCTTTGTTTTGAATGATGCTTTGACGATCCTGGGTCCATGAGATTCCCATCCTATAAGTGCGTTTTCGTGCTTCTTTGGACAGCATCAGAGCAACCCCCTGAGTGTGTGGAGCATTTTCCTCTTCGTGACCGGAGTACAGCAACATCTCTCACGTATCTATGCCTTTGCTGTCCAGCTTGGGTCCAATGGGTTTCGCTGATTCCGAGAACCGCCAAATTGTATCTCCTCATTTCCGTTGCTATTTGACTGATGCTCCCGGTCTCCCACATAGTCCGGACGTTCCATGTACCTATAAAAATTGTTGCTCTGGTTGTTAGAAGGGGTGTCAGCCTCGCGACTTACGAAGAATCTCGGCTTTCTTCATGAGGCGTCATCATTCTTCCTTCAACTCCCAGGGCAGAGTCTAAATGGTTAGTTTGTTTATTCTGGTTAGCGTTTTTTTAGCAAGGTTGTTTTCTAAGGGATAGGGTTTTCGACCTCATGCCTAACACTCCTTCTTTACCCGGTCTTGTGATCTGCATTAGCCCTAGAAGAGCTATAGGCAGAGTTGGACTGAATGTTGGAGTGACTTTAATTAAAAAATCCCGTAAAATGTCTATAGGTAGAATAGTTCCCAACAACCATTCAGGATATTCCTTGTTCACTTTAGCCTATTTCTTGTAGTATACATCCGCGTGATTGGATTAATATTTCTGACTGTCTTTCTTTCATTTGAGAAATAATACAGTGGAAACTACTGTACCGTACAGTTTAAATGCTTTGCTCAAGCCTGTTCCTGAAGATAAATTAATCTATTCCTTCGGTGAAAGGGACATTGAGAAGCGAGATCACATTATAACTTCTCACTTCAGTAGTCGGGAATAAATCGACGAGATTATATAAGTTCAGATTTGTTGGTATCTCTATGTCAAACAATACACGTACAAATCTACATATTCAAAGTAATCATTACGTTGGTTTATTTGCAGGATTCCCAGAAATTATTCAACACAAGAAAGCAGAAATCTGCCCGGATATCATACTAGAGACCAGAAAAACTGTCGCTTATTTCATGTTTACAGCGTTCGCTGATCTAACATCGTAATGAATAAAATAAATTGACTTTGTTTCCTGAGGAGAGTTACTAGATGCACTATTCGAAATTAAAGGTAAACAAAACTAAATTTGTTCTGTAACCCCTATACCGATTACAATCTCTAGCACTGTTTCTAGTGAAATAAGTTGACGCTGAGTGCACTCTGTAATTCTTTAAAAAACGCTTCAGAAGACGGAGAACGTCCCAAAAAAGCTTCAAAACGAATGTTTTTAAAAAACTAATAAAAGGTTAGAAAAGAATGCATTATGCTCACTTAAATCTGACCGAAAGATTACCACATAAAATATCAACTTTAACATCATTTACCTAAACCTTTTTTGCGTATAATCTAACCCTTAAAAAACTGCTTCCATAATCCATTCATTATTTTGACTTAGAGTTTGGGAATCAAAGATCTTGGGTTAATAGCTAAAGCAGTCCGAGTACAATACAATACATAAAAATTTTTACTGAAATAGCAAAGGAACAAACGACCAAAACCTCTGAAAAAAACTGTTTCAAAAATCTTACTATCTCAAATCCTTTTAGTCCTCTTTTCCTTCCTAAATTTTCTAATTCTGAAACAACAATTTTACGTGCTGCCGGCTGTGAACATAGTGTTGACGTATCTACTATTGGAATAGAATCATTGAAATTGTATTTAGACACCTCAGTCTCTTCTTTATTACCGTTCAATAACAATGGGTCATTTAAATTCGCCTTAGCCACTATGCGCTTAGTCAACTCTTTGATATTTGGTACAACTACAGCTACTGGAAAATCGTTGAGTGAATTGCCATCAACGAAGATTTGCTCAATTAGTGGACTGAGTTGGTAGATATTTTCCAATCGTTCTGGTGCAATATACTCGCCTTGTGAGAGTTTAAATATGTTTTTACACCTGTCGACAATTTTTAAAGAACCTTCCTAGAAATTAAAAAAACAAAAAACAAATCACATAGGTAAACAAATAGATGGAAATGTAAAAAAAAACCTGCAATATACAAAGTAACCAATTGTTTAAAATGAAGTCAATAACCAAAAGATACATGAATAATGATGAATAAAGAAATGAATATTCCAAATTGATTGATGTAGACTAGAATCAGGAAAATGATTTCAAAAACGTAATTTAATTATCTAGATGAAAATATGATTATCTCGAAAAACTAAAAGCACAATAAATTTGGTATGTTCTCAAAAATCAAAAGCAACAAAGGGTATCGGTTGACCGCAAGTTGTCTGGATGAAAAGTTCCTAGTGGGATCTCCCATGGTAGTTTGGGGACCAGCGTTATTGTCTCTATATGCAAATGACCTTCTCAGCCTTCTATTATTATCGATCTTGTTACATACAGAGAATATCAAAATACGGGGAGCGATATAACACTAAGAGGACAGTTCATAGCCACAGAAAATCGTATGGAAACGATTTGAATGATTTAGAATTCGGTACTTGCAGCTAAACGTTTCCAAATGTATTGTGATGTATATTGGTCACCAGGGTACAAATACATACACAGCGAACAACGTCGAGCTACCCGTTGTTCAGACAATAAATGATGCAGGAGTCAATATCACCCAATATTTGAAGACTACTGAGCACTGCCATGCAATATATGGTAAATGTCTTGGAAACTTATAGCCGTTACGCAGAGCTTCCATTCCTGACTTTGTGGTGTTCATTTGATAAAAACTGAAGTATTGCATACAAGCATTTAGCCCTTACCTAAACACACAGAGAGCTATCGTAAAATGCTTAAAGAAATATATATATAAGCTAATACCTGGAACCCGACCAACAATGGAAGAAACCATCAAATTCATTACACAAATCAGGAACTGCAGAGCACCAGACAATTACTAGCTAAAGCACTGAAGTTAGAAACATAAGCAACTGTAATTTCAACGTTTTATCCGGTAATGTGGGTTTGAACGTCTTCAAGGTCATAGTAAAAGGTAAATACGACCAAAAAGAATTTCGCACAGAACTCTTATTCAGCCATGTTGAAATGTTGATTTTGGATTTAATGAGAATTTAAATCACTACATCAAATGTGTACAGTATGCTTCAAGTGAAGGTTTATGTACGTTATTAAAATTCAGTGATCAAAAGAAGTATTAAGTTACAACTAGGGCTATATTGATCATTCCGTTTAATATTTGAGTAAGGTGGGTCCAACCTTAGTGTATGTAAATCGAATGAATTAGATTTTATGTTGCACAGTTAAATAAAAGCAACTGGAGATAAATTCAAACAATAGTCAATTAAAGTTACACTTATACCACTGATAATTATCATGTTACTAGTGGGAGCGGAATTTGAAGGCGACAATATTTTTGTCCAATAATCAACAACTTCCTGTCTACAGGATATCGAAAGCCAATTTCAAAGCTTATAAGCCACATGGTTCAGTACTGGGTCGTCCCAAACATTTAAAAAGTCATAGGTAAAGCCTATTTGCTTGTGGATATTCATCAACTAAATATACCTGGGAGTATGTGGTGCGCTTGGGATTAAAAGCTTTATGGGTCATGGATCCGATAAAAGCCTTTACTATGGTCTCTAGTTAGTATCACTTCCCATTAACTGACTAATAAATAGTATGGTGATAGTAATTGTAACAATTGCACCGTCGCGAACTGCACTTGATTTAGCGATATCGGAATAACTCAACAAGAATTATTTGGATCAAGGATAATAAAGGATTAGTACGCTGTTAATATGTAACTGAACTCATTTTTCCCCAGACAATAACGAGTTTTTGATTGTTTTGGAAAACTAAAGTCAATCTAAGTATAACGAATGGTCTATTGAAGATGATAGGTTGGGTACATAGATAAACCACTAGACTAAAAATCCTCTTATTAGTTAGAGAACATACTTTTGTCCAACTGCCAATGTCACCAGTATGCAACCATCCATCTTTGTCAATGAGTTGTTTTGTGCTTTCTTCATCCCTGTAATACCCTTGAGTACAATTTAGACCTTTAACACATATCTGTACAATTGATAGGAAGAGAAATGAAATCAAGAAGAAACTATAAGTGAACTGACATCCGATATTTAGTCTTAATAAGTAAGTGTTTCAGCACGTGACGATTTTTGACTAATTGATATTAGTAACATCGATGAACCGATGCAGTGCAAATTAATTGCTGATATCATGAGTACTAGCAACAAATGTACCCTTATAAAATATATCCGAAAATCTACCAGTTTTCTTAAAAGAACAGTGACACAACTACTCGTATACTAGTCACTCGTTTATCACACACAAGTTTGTGTACTCGACTATGAGCCATACCATTTGTGTGAGGGCTAGTGATACTAACTTGATTCTCAGACGGGACTAGGTGCAGTGTATTTCGTATATTATTACTATACTGAACCATTGAGGATAGATAAAGTTGATACATAAAGAGTGAAACTGTAAACTGATATCCAGCAAGCGAATTTAATCCATCAATTTATTAATTCTCCACGCATATTAATCTGAATTATTGATATGTTTTATAATTAATAAAAGACAAAAAGCCATGTAGTTCTTCTACGGAAGTCCATAGTTTTGAATGGTTATTAAATGGATAAGCATTCGCTGAATCAAGTTAAACCTAAATATTTGGATATTTGCATTGGATATAGAGAATCTTCATAACAGTTATACGGACACTTTTATGTCCAGTTGAGAAAATTAGGTTGATTAATTTAGTCACATATTGAACTAAGATACAGATAAAATGAAACACTTCACTAGTGAATGAAAACCTGAGTACTGAGCTCTCTGGCTTTTTTTAACTGCTATCGTTTGTGAAGGTAATTATTCTTAGATCAAATATCATGTTCGTACAACAACCTGTAGAAATAAAACAATCTATCATCTAACAATTACGTAACAATTTAACTGCAGGAAACCTATGAAGAGTACCAGGCTGACAGATATTTATCGGTTGAAACCTAATTTTAAACATTTTATTCGCTTCTCATATTTTACACTAATGAAGATAAACTAATATTGAAAATATTATGGGTGAAATTCTTGTTTACCGATTGAGCCACTGACCAATTAATAGATAACGAATACTTACTTCACCCATTTTCATCTTGTCAACGCTGATACCCATATGCGGTACATCTACCAGTTTGGCTGAAACTCCTGGGATAAGCGCACCAACATGATCCAGGGTTTTATCACCAAACAGTGTAAGCGTAATAACGCCACATGATTCACTTAAACCATAACCGACTATTACCTATTAAAAATGTATTGTTTAAAAAGAAATAATATATTATTATTTATATCAAAAGAATAGGTTACACACACAGTGGATGAATATAGTGGAGGTGAAATCTATTAGTTAGCAATGCTTAATATTTGGATGTTTTAATGCTTAATTAAATAGTGAGTTTGTAGAAATCATCAATGTAACATATTTATCGAAATAACTCCACCTGTATATCATCTAAGGATACAGGCAGGTCACAAGACCGGGTAAAGAAGGAGTGTTAGGCATGAGGTCGAAAACCCTATCCCTTAGAAAACAACCTTGCTAAAAAAACGCTAACCAGAATAAACAAACTAACCATTTAGACTCTGCCCTGGGAGTTGAAGGAAGAATGATGACGCCTCATGAAGAAAGCCGAGATTCTTCGTAAGTCGCGAGGCTGACACCCCTTCTAACAACCAGAGCAACAATTTTTATAGGTACATGGAACGTCCGGACTATGTGGGAGACCGGGAGCATCAGTCAAATAGCAACGGAAATGAGGAGATACAATTTGGCGGTTCTCGGAATCAGAGAAACCCATTGGACCCAAGCTGGACAGCAAAGGCATAGATACGTGAGAGATGTTGCTGTACTCCGGTCACGAAGAGGAAAATGCTCCACACACTCAGGGGGTTGCTCTGATGCTGTCCAAAGAAGCACGAAAACGCACTTATAGGATGGGAATCTCATGGACCCAGGATCATCAAAGCATCGAAATACAGGCGTACTTACTGACCCTCAAAGGATGTATGTTCTGGATTAGTGGGAGAGGATCTATAGATAATATTCGGTTGTCTAATCGATAGTTGGTATATTGAAGCTCCAATTTGAATTACATGTATCTTATAATCCTGAAGCAGACACCGCACTTTGTTCTAAGTGAAATTCAAATAGTATTATGTTGAAAGACATCTAAATTTAATATATTGGCTGATGTTATTTTTAGGAATAAGTTTTCATGAACCAAATAGTAGTGTGGTGAAGATGAACACGGGTGAGGACAGCCAAATTGCATTTAGGACAAATTACAGAATTACTTGTTAAAATAGAAAAACCATATAGTAAATCGTTAATTTGCAAAATATCATTCTATCATATCAAACCGCACCTTTGCTTTTGCAAACATCAATCCATTGTCTCGCATTTCATTGTTCATGCGATTTCTTACAAATTCCATTGTTTTCTCGCTCTTCTTTTCTTGATCTTCTCCATCTTCTGCTGCCAGACATTACGTTCTTTTGACTCACGTCATATACTACTTATATCAATATAAGTAGCACGCGCCACAGTATCACTTAAACCGAATACTAGGCATGGATTTCAACTGTGTTTCGATTCACTGTGAGTTACCCTTTTTATTATCGAATATATATTTATTCGCCAATTCGTCACATTTCAAGTGCACTCATTCATTTCAACATAGTATCTAGACTTGATTAACGTTATATTTGTCTATGTGTACATCTATCTGTATCTTGGGTTTACCATGGGCATATCCATTAAAGAATAACAATGATCAAACAAAACGAATTTTTTCAGTGCTTAAGAATAAATGTAAACAGGAATGAGATATATCAGTCAATAAAATTGCCTTCTTATTCACCGTTTATAACCTGAATTCATTCTGATAGTACTGACTAGACACTAAATATGTTCACAAAGTGATGTTATGGTAGCATGATGGAGTTATTGATTGGATGAAACTCGCGTATGAAGATATCCATTTATTGAAGCCAAGCAAGAAAATGTAGATAAATTCACTACGCAGTAAAGATACTATCAATGTGTTACTGATAACATATATTCTACTACGGAAATCGAATTTAGTGTAGCAGAAACATTTGAACCTGTTATCAAATAATTACAAGTCACAGCTACATCATTGAAACAAGGTTCTACTTTACGGAAAGTAACAGTTTTACAAATAATTAGCTTCAACACTTATAGAAATTTCTAGAAAAATCACGACCCTATTTTAACCTGTATTGCTGGAAATGAAAGCTAATGGATTCACTGTGAGTGCTGCAGAACCTATTCTAGTTAGCGTACGTTCAATAATACCAGATACATTACAGGGTCGTATGATGTTAGATTTTGAAGATGACTGACAAGAAGTTATAGATTTTAGTTTCATGCTTATTGAGGCTCACTGAAAAGGTATATCCGCGACTGAGAAATCTGATTTTCAAATACAAATTCGAAAATCGCATAGCGATGTAATGAATAAGAAATTTCATCCTAGTTATCAGACACTGAATAGCTATTCAGTATACAATTCGTTTTTGTACTGGTTGTTTGAGTTTTCCCACTGATGTTTGGGACTGCAATTGAACAGTCTCATAGCGCGATGGCGTTTGAAGCGAACGGTATTGGGTTCGAGTCTCGGAGTAAACACCAACTTTGTGATGCAGATACATCCACCTGACGAGTATCAAACAGGACGAAATGAGAATCCTGGATCCTACTGCTAGCCACCATCCATGTCTTCAGTATATACACTCACAACTCTTCTTAGAGTTTTCTTCAGTGTAAATTCCTTTCTACAGTTAGTATACGTAGCAACACTATCTGAAAACATTGTTATTCGCGTGGCTTTCATATGTCTTAGATAACTTAAATAAAAGTGACAGTTACGACAACTAATTTAAACCAAAATCATTCTGAGTCAGTGAAATTCGGGGATGTCAGTGGATCTGAAATATAATAGTGACTTCAATCAAACGTACAGATACACAGACGATTAGTTTTTATCTGATTGTCTGTTCTTTTTTATTTGAATGATAAATCTGTTTAATTTTAGTTGTTGAATAACTTCATGCCACAGAATCAATTGTATGAAAACAACGCCGATTTCGAAAAAGCATTATTGATTAAACCCAGGTTCATGGGTGTTCAAGTGTTATATATATATATATATATATATATATATATATATATATATATATATAATCAAAACAAACATTTACTTACTGGACAGCCAAAAACTCCCCGTGTAAAACGTAAAATTTCACTTGCAACGGGTGCACTACCAGAGACTATTACTTTGACACGACCACCCAAAGTTCGTCTAATTTTATTGAAGAATATAAAGTCCCAAATACTTGAATTATCGTATATATTTCTGAAGTAATAACAAATTAAACGTAAAAGTGTCAGTTAAACTCAATGAACAACCTGATACATATGTACATCAGTTTAAGTTGCCATACCCCATTAGTACATCAAGATAAAATTGTCAAATCAAATTTTGTATAGGTAGTAACAAGAGTCATGACAGAAAGGATTGAGCATTTTGAGATACGATTAGAGAAAAAAAGGAATACAAATAGTGTGACGTTAAAATTGACCAACATAAGTAATCTAGTATTCTCATAAGTTTCTTTCAAATAACGCATCTTGAGAATCCAAATCTGAGTTTCAATCAATAATTTAATCTTACTATTTAACCGTTTGGAAAAATTGTACAAGGCTTTAACGACTATTATGTGTATAACTCTGTAAAATACAGCTCGTGTCATATGATGCAAAGTTTGATCAACGATAAATTTGTAAAGTGAATTAAGATGTAAGTCACAGAAAAAAGAGCCAGCGAATACGTATTACTCGTGGTAAAATTAAATACTCAGGAATCCAGAATTTATTGTAATTTGGAACTGTTGGAGGCGTTAGATCCCCAGAACTCGCTTGGTAAATGCCTCATTTTTGTAATTCTATTTTAAAATTTAAATTTCTTGTTTTCTCGCCAAAAGCCCCCATTTTCACCTTCACGTCGTATTTCCCACTTGGAAGGATCTTAAATGCTATTGGTTCGTTGTCTTTTTAAATATGCCATTTTGTAACGTTCCCCAAGGACATTTTTACGCTCTCTATATACACTTTTGTTGTGTTTGTTTTTGTTCGTGCTTCTGGATGATTGTGGAATAATAAATTCCCATTGTATCACTGAGTCTTCGTTCCGTTCGCAGATTAGGTGAACTCGTAATCATTTCAAATATAGCAGAACTCGCTTCAATAACAAAGACGAGTACATTGATGAGCAATCATCTTCAGTCATAAAAATAAATAATGAGTAAAATGCACTGATCTTAATCTAGGTATTATATCCTATACACAGTTTTCAAAGCGTATCTATAAACTGTTTCTCAGTAGTATATATTTCACAGTGAAAAATGGAATAAAAGAGATTGCAAGTAGAACAAAATACGACCAATCGCAAACGTAATACAACTATAATGAGTTGTTTCAAAAGCATTGACATAAGTAATCTGAATATCCCAAAGCAACGGAAACCTTTTCTATTATGACAGAATTCAAAATAAAAAAGGTGTTCCGTAATGATCCTGTAGCCATGAATTTCCCATCTCATGAATGCTATTTATGCTTATTTGGAGAGCATGAGAGAAACTTTTTGTATTTGTGGAGTATTTTCTTTTTCATTATCAGAATACAAGCAAGTCTTTTCTTTTTAATTTGCGTTCAATGGAGCCTATTTATTCGAAGGAGAACCAAAACGCATATTCTCTGGCTTTTTGAACGATCTTCCTGGTATCATATATTGTGCCGACTCTCTACTTACCTACATTAATTGCTGCTAACGTTGCCAAGAGCAGCATCAGAATCGTGGCTTTCGAAGACAATCGGCTTTTACCATGTATCATAACTCTTTCGCATGAAGACCTTTCACCTCTTAGGATAGAGTTTTACTGGCTTTTCTGGTTAGTTGTGTCAGAGTTTACACTATGCTAGGTGTGGTTGTTAACTCCAAGGCAAAACCTTTTTCTTTACCCAGGTTTATTTATTATTATTTATTAATTTGGACACATGAATATTGGTACAAGAGAGCGCCAATATTTATGCGCCACACAAAACAATGAAAATTCAAGAGGAATACAAAGAAAGAAAAAAAAAGCTAAGGAGCGCAACAAAAAAAGAGAGAACAATAACGAAGAGGTTGGTGTAAGGTAATGTGCTAGTAATCAGGGAACCCAAAGGTACAATCGGAAGAAATCTTTCAGGTAAGGGAGACAGAACCACTTTTTATGAAGAAAGTAAAAGAAGGTTACAGCAGGATCGCCACTGGCTTCTATTCTGAGCCATACCTGATAACATCTCTAGCCACTGTGTAGCACCATCTCTCAGACCCCAACCAGGGAGTCGTGAAGGACCGACACAAGCCAGTCCTTTGCAGCTTTCTTTCATGCCACGACACCATGTCATGCACTGACAACCTCTCCGCTTCTTCCAACCAGTCCCAGAGTCGGCAAATAATGCACGACGTGGAATTCTCTGGGACGACATTCGGGCCCCCGAATGCCCTGGTACGGCCGAGAGTGGGGTGAAACCACTCTCCCTCTCGAAATACTCTCACACGGCCGCGCGTATACAGCCTCTGCCAGGGAAGTCCTACTCATTGCCTTCTCGTGGCGGGGGTGTTGTTTACGAAAATGAGAGGACGAAAAGCGAATGTCCGGCGCTTTAACCGGATCACAAACCAATGGTGCACATGGGCTCCAGTATCCTGCGGGAACAAATGGCCTATGAACCAATCTTTGGTCACCGGCTACCATGGGATTGCATCTCCTTACGATGCTCCACTGCCTTGTGGGTCAGACCTTTAGGTCAAAGGCTCGGGGAGTGGCCCCCTAAGATAACCACCTGCTTCGGTTTGGGCACCCGGGCAGTATCACAGCCCACACACAAACGATGAACTCTATGCCTATGGCAACTACTTTTCTCACCCAGGTTTAGAATCGACAATAGCTCACAGAAGTGTTCTAGGGCGTGTTAAAAATCACTACAACGCCGGTCTATCAATCTTGTGTTGATTATACTCAGTAGCGCATTTACTTCTGAACGAGGTGATATCACTCATCGACAAAAATAATCTAAGTGAAATTTGTGAATAGTTAAACTACCAGATTATATTCGTTCTACAAATATTGTTTTGTCTTTTGCCAGTTCTTTTTGTTAAGATTTCAATTAAGATTGTTGTTATATCTGGGTGGTCGACCTTGTTACATCCGGATCGCCAAATGTTATATATAGGCAGTCGTTACTGTTATGTCTGGATGGATACTCTGTCTTACTACTAAATCCTACTGTTTATGCTATGAGACGGAAATTACTGCAATCACTACGACGCAAAGAAACAACACAAAAGACTGATGCAATGAAGATTTACTATCTGCCCAAAAACATCTTAAACAAGTTCTGAAATCGCATCGTCATTAGACCAAAATACAACTATTTATATATTAATTTTTACATATATTCTGAAATCCCACATATAGTCGGAAATGCACAGGGTTACTGTGTAGCACATACTCAATTCAGTTCACACAAATTGATACAAGGTAATATAGCTCTAAATAATGTCATCTATTTATAACGGTATATCAACTGACAACTCATAAATGAACTGAACGAGTTTTGTAGCTTAAAGGATTATTGGTGATCTGTTGCTTTCATTTAATCAGCTCTGACTAATTTCCCTCTGTAAACACAGATTATTTTTTATTAAATTAGAGATTTCTAAGTATTGAAGTATGTTAACTGTCGCTATTTATTTTCCAGGTTTAGTTGATAGTTTACGCGAATACACTGAAATGAAAACAATTTATTGACAACTTACGAATATCGGCTGTATTTCTACCAGTCTTTATTATTTTTAAAAAACTCAGTCAACAACCACCTTCATTCCAACTTATATAAGCTGAAAATTTGTTCATGTAACTTTACCACAGTATCCATTATATAGAAACGTTTCTGTATTTAAATGCAGAAAGACTGTTATCTATTCATATGCATAAAAATAAATTCAACTCAATCAAGTTGCTATATTTTACGTCAAGTTTAGATATGAAGTCAAATGAGTTAACACTGAACGTGGATTCAGATAATCAAAAATTTAATTATTTGCTGTGTGTATTAGGCTGAGTTTAAAGATGTCAACTTTCACAATTGATTGATCACTGGGTGGTGATCAATGTCATGCTTGTCTAGTCCTTATTAGTGCAGATCGAATGCTATCGATCATGTTGCAATGTGGCCAACAGTCTAGGTGACTCGACACTGCGGACACTATGTATTGAGATTTAGATGGTGGTTGGAGGTAGTCAACAGGAAACCCTGGACCCGGGTTTCGTGCTACTTGGCGCTCGTCAGCAAGGTGTACCTGTAATCTTGAGGGAACTGGTGCTCCCTGGCGGATAGCTCAGTGGCAACGTCTCTGACTGTGAAGCTGGATGACACGAGATCAAATCCGCCAGGGAGCACCAGTTCCCTCAAGATTACAGGTACACCTTGCTGACGAGCGCCAAGTAGCACGAAACCCGGGTCCAGGGTTTCCTGTTGACTACCTCCAACCACCATCTAAATCTAGATGTCAACTTTATGCTTTCTTTATATTCCATACCGAATTGATCATTTTGTATTGGCGTCTGGTCAAATAGAAATCGCGAAATTTTGTTGAGGTTTTATTTGTTCACTTACTTGAATTTCATCAAGTTAGATTACTTTGTAAGTAGAATTTAAAGACATAAAGTAAAGAATCTATCAGAAATGATCTCTATCGATTTTCTTACTTAATTTTAAGCAACTAAACGAAGAACTGTTGGATTATTTAGATCGTAAGGAAAGTACATTTAAAAAAGAAGGAGGATATAGGCGTACTTGTGAAACTAAACATAAGTTGTCCTTCTGAAGGTCACAAAACTTTCATCTTTCAAGGTCAAGGTTGTTTTTATTCACTTCAATATTGAACGCCACAATAACATGATAGATATTTCAAGTAACAAACAAAAATTGAACTAGATGATAGATCACAGTATGTGAACTTTTCATTTTGTGTAATTAAATGTTTCTAAGCACTTTTTTCATCAACACAATAACAACAGAGTCATTTCGACGACATTCGATTTCGTATGATGATGATGGTCAAATGCAATATTATTTGATTATTTAAAATTTCTAGTAAAAAGTTCTTTTTATTATTACTATTAGTTAAATGAACATGATACTCACTTGCTTAGTTTTATCAGAACTGACTATATTAACCTTACGTTCTAAAATGCAATGATGGACACGATCCAAGTAAATCAGAGAACTATCAACTGACGGTAT